ACCACAACGTTTCGGAGACTGGATCTGTCTCCGTCTTCAGGTGTATAGGGAAGGTTTAACCTACTCAGTTGGGCCCCTTAGAAAGAGCTAGTCTCAATCACTGGACAAACCTTGATCTGTAGAAACAACCTATGAACAACCGACAACCGGTTCCGTCAGTGGGAGGAAAGAATAAAATCGCAGTAAAAACATGATAGAAAATTTGTGCCAAACATGCACTTGTCAACAATGTAAAGAAACAGAAGTATGGGTTATATTCCATGAATTCAGTTAAAAACGAAAGTAAAAACTGGATAAAGCATGCCTGATCTGCATGGATAAAGAATCGTGCCACCATGGCGACTTCCGGGAATCAGACTAATCCCCGGAAGAAAACTTGCAGTAGTAGTGGAACCACTAATATTCATGAAATTACATTTTTTGGTTTGTTAACCTCTTCATTGATGAGGGGGATCCATATAGGAGAAATATCCAAACTGGGTTGGCTGATCGGATTGGATGAACATGCCATATGAGCTGATTCTTTGTATTTCCTGTATCTGCTGTTGCTTTCAATCTCCAAGATCCTAGCTTCATCCCAGCTTACCCTGTGACCTTCTTCATATGCATGCTGAGCCAACCTGGATTTCTCTAGAAGACCCTGCTTAAGATTGTGCTTGTGTTCACGGATTCGAACAGCCAGTGGTCTACCTGTTTCACCAATGTAGCTTCTGCCACATTGACAGGGAATGCTGTAGACGCACTGTGCCGTCTGTTGAGGATCCCTTTTTGGTTTCGTTCTCACGAGCGAAGATCGTAAAGTGTGTTTAGTTTTGAAGACGGTTCTAATATTGTACTGGTTCCCTATGCGCTTGAACTTCTCAGAGATTCCCTTGACATACGGGATATACACCGTGCCAAGAGGCTTTTACTCATTTCTGTTAGAGGCTGAGTTGACCCCGGGGCCATACCTTGGCTGGAAGGATTAGATCAAATTCATAAGAATTATGTCTGGATCAGGAAAATATGATTCTTGTAGGGAATTGTTTAAAAAGTTACAAATATTGCCACTCCAATCTGAATATATTTTTTCTTTGCTTCTCTTTGTTATTAAGAATAAAAATTATTTCAAATTTAATACAGAAATACATAATATTAATACCCGTTATAATTACAATTTACACTTACCCTTTACAAATTTATCAATTGCACAAAAAGGAGTCCTGTTCTCTGGAAGCAAATTGTATAATAAATTACCTTTGAATATTAAATCATCATCTGGAGAAATTAAGAAGTTCAAATTTTTATTGAGAAGATATCTCACTGAACATGCATTTTATAGCATTGATGAATTTTACCAAACTATTTCCCGATGAATATTTTTATAATACTTTATTAATAATTTATTTTTTAACACACGATTACATTAAATTATGTAAATGATTTCAGACTATTGTATGACTGTGACAGGTATATATGATATTTAACTGGTATGTGAGGCGTTATATTTATTGCTTATATTTATCTTGAAACTAAAGCGCATAATAATCTTTTGTACTTAATATATTTTGGGTGGAATTGTATATAGAAGATTCATGTTACTAATAATTTAAATTCTTTGTTTTAATCTGTTTGTATTTAATGAAATTGTTATTACACTGTGTACTGTTTTATATCGTTTTTATTGTTTATCTTGACTGTTTCAATGTTTGGAACTTATTTTAATATTATTATTGACATGTTCTATATCCAAGGTTGTATTTCAACCTATGTTTTGGATTTACTGAATTTGAAATAAATGATGCTGTCAGTATTGAGACTGTGGACTGTCAGATGATGAGATGATTAATGAATGCGGAGCAGTTGGTGGAATGAGAATTGGCAAAGGAAACTGAAAAGGTGTCTCCACCTTGTCCTGGTGGTGGGGCTTGTGTGACTGTGTGACCTTGAGAGAAATGCCGGCGGTAGTTTAACTACTGGTAGGTCACCCATGCCAGAAAGATCAAAGGGTAGAGTCCATCAGACTAAGAGAGATACCCAGGTCCTCCAGGTTGGGGATTGGGCATGAGGCTAACAACCTCATCCGGTAAAAAGAATTTTGTTCAGAAACCTAACAACCAGCCTTGTGTCATCATGCATGGATCCATTCCTACGGCAACACGCATTGGTTGTGGAGAATGGTTGTAGAGGAGACCAAGGCTCACCCAGGGCTGTAGCGCCAAGTGGTAGGTAGGTAGGTAGGTAGGTAGGTATGTCTGTTTTAGCACAGTGACATTAGAGCCTTTGGAACACTTATATGTAGCACACTAGTATCATGTTCTTTTAATATTGCTATACAGCTAATGACAGTAGTCCAACATATCTGATTATTGCAGGAAAGGTTGATAATGTACACCGACACATTGGGGGCAGTGGAGCATGTGGCGGTGGTCATTACCAAGAGTCAACTGAGATTATTCAAAGTCTGGAGAACCTCAATACAGAGATACGTGAGATCTGGGGGGTGCTTAACAAGCAGCAGAAAGATGGTACAAGCAGACAAGGTGAGTGGCTTGTAGCTTTAGTGCCAGTGTCATGACATGAAATTGAATTCCATCACACAGTAATATTTTAGTTCGTATAAAGAGCTTCTTTACAAATTGTCAATGAATAATCCGTCAAGTGTAACAACGTTCTTAGGTCACTTATTTATTTCACTCGCCTTACATGTTTCGGTTCAAAAGAACCATCATCAGAGGCACGTTACAAACACATGAAACCACTGGCGTTGTATTGTACACAGTATGTAAGCTGCGTGATCTGCTAGAGATGTCGGAGTGTAAAAGCACAACACTTTCTAGTAACGTTGAATGCATGTACACCTCTTGCATTCCATCCAAAGAATGCTCTCAAATTGAGCCGTCAATGTTAAAATATTTAAAAGCTTAAAACATTTGAAATAAAATTTGGCTCCTTCTTGTTGATTCGTCCCGGTGATGGGAATCGTCAACTTGAGGTTGTGTATGCTTTTGGTCGGATGTGTCTTACGCGTTGTGTGTTGTGTACTGCAGTACACAACACACAACGCGTAAGACACATCCGACCAAAAGCATACACAACCTCAAGTTGACGATTCCCATCACCGGGACGAATCAACAAGAAGGAGCCAAATTTTATTTCAAATGTTTTAAGCTTTTAAATATTTTAACATTGACGGCTCAATTTGAGAGCATTCTTTGGATGGAATGCAAGAGGTGTACATGCATTCAACGTTACTAGAAAGTGTTGTGCTTTTACACTCCGACATCTCTAGCAGATCACGCAGCTTACATACTGTGTACAATACAACGCCAGTGGTTTCATGTGTTTGTAACGTGCCTCTGATGATGGTTCTTTTGAACCGAAACATGTAAGGCGAGTGAAATAAATAAGTGACCTAAGAACGTTGTTACACTCGACGGATTATTCATTGACAATTTGTGATTGATAGTGTAACGGACCAAATATGAAACAATTCAGCTTCTTTACACATTTCCCGTTCATGACTCCTATTGGCCTGGATTGCATTTTGTCTCCTCTCCCCTTCCTCTTGATCTGAGTGATGTCCTGCATCACAACCTGGCTGTACAACATAACAGCATCCTTATCCTCTTCATTTCGGCATCAGAGGTCACCAGCAATATCCACCTAAAAGACCACATGGTTTCATGAGCAAGTATGTTCACATTGTTCTTTTTTTTATTTCCCTTTTGCTTTAGAATTAGGTATGGAAATATAAAGCATGATAATATTTAAATTTATTAACTATGATAATTACCTGAAGTATGCAATTTTATATTGTGGTGTATACCAAATGTATTCATGTTTCTTTTAGTTACATTGTTAGTCATTGCACAATTATATTGAATCTTAATTCTGTATTAAAGGACTGTACAATTACCTCATCTTTTAAACAGCCTTATATTTTATCTTTAGTAATGTTAGTTGTAAAATGAATGTCTGTAGAACAGTTATCAAAGAAGGGTACAGAAAAGATGAACCTGTGCATGACAGTTGAATGGCATCTCCCCAATAGGTTTATAAATGCTTGTGTTCATTTATACCCTAATTGTTGTTTGTTGGACTCTTGCCTGTTAAGTGCTTTGTAGTTACATTTACTTGCCAGAGTATTTTTTTACAGTAGGTTAAATGACCATAATCCAGTGACTCCTTGATTTTATTGATTAGTTTCTGATCAATTCAGATTCATATTCTGTTCTTCTGGGTTATGACACAGTGTAGTCTGGTGGGTGGACACTGACATTTTTGAGGAAAACATACTGCCTCCATATTCTGCCCTGAGTACTGAGACGGTACATTCCTCTGAAATATTTATAGCTGTTATCAGCCTACACAGTGTCTTAACCAAGAAAAACACAATACAGATCTTCAACACTATGAAAATCTCAAATCTTATATACTCAGTAATTAGATGCCTTTCCATCACAGTGAAAGTTTTATGGCTACCTTAACTAGAAAATGTTTGAAATATCAGTTTACATGATTTGTTGAATATGATTCTCATGTTTTGTCTTTTATTTGAATGAGTTTTCCAGCTGTTTTTCAGTAGTGGCATAAAAGTGTTATATCACACTAGCACAGAATGTTCGTCTGAAGCCATTCGGGAAGGATGAGAATGATCTTTTTTCTAGAGTCACTGGATTAAGTGAAGTTTAACTAAATAATTAAAGCATTTTGGCAAGTGGACATGTGTGAATGCGTATATGCCACAGTTGTGCCTCCTCCACTGTTGGTGTACCCTAACGTGGGGTGGCCCATGCTGGTGAGCTCCAGAGCTACAGCCACCCCTGCAGTGTCTGATCACATGCAGGCCCTGCAACACCAGGCTCAGCAGAAGTTGTCCACCATGGGCCAGTTCACTCTATCTTCACTTCCAAGGCCACAAAATGTGACTGCCCAGCTCTCAGCTGCTCTAGGTTAGTTCATGCAAAGTTTGGGTATTGTATCTCATTCAGTTTTATTGTTTTATTATATGAGAATTTAAAACTTTTCTGCTAAGTATCATTATTATGAATTCTCAATCCCCAAATAAAATTAGACTTGCACAGCTATGATACATTTGCTGCAAACAATTTTAAAAGCAGTTCTCTCATGGACAGACATAATATATCATGTTGCCAACAAATGATAGAAAGAACTTCTTTTGGTATAGCATTGCTGTGACCCCATAGTACATAGGCACTTACTTCTGATTATCCGTAACTTTAATATTGAAATGTACTTACTTACGTACTTATGGAGCTGAGCTCTTCTTGAGGAGAAACCAAATCTGCAGCTACTCAAGAATTTTCCAGCATTTTATGGAACGCAAAGGTTCATTACCATGTTCACAAGAGCCCTCCACCGGCCCCTATCCTGAGCCAGATCAATCCAAGTATAATTAGAATGATCAGGTCAAGGAGGATGAGGTGGGCAGGGCATGTAGCACGAATGGGGGAGAAGAAGACTGCATATAGGATATTGGTGGGAAAACCATAAGGAAAGAGACCACTAGGAAGACCAAGACATAGGTGTGTGTACAATATTAAAATGGATCTTAGAGTGATAGGATGGGATGGTATGGATTGGATTGATCTGGTTGAGGATAGGGACCAGTGGAGGGCTCTTGTGAATACAGTAATGAACCTTCAGGTTCCATAAAATGCTGGAAAAATCTTTGAGTAGCTGCAGATTTGGTGGCTCCTCAAGAAGGGCTCAGCTCCATAATTAAGTTTGTCAAATATTGAGATCTTGTAGCATGAAATTGGATCTGGAAGGATATTTCTGAATGAAGGTTAGGGAGGTATATAAGGGCAGAAGTGATCATGGCATATTTACTAAAAGAATTTACCTGTCAAGGCTGAAAGAGACAGAACCCTCAGCCTCACCTGTGTCATCCAGTAGCCAGGATTCAAATGAGATATCTCCCAGATTCAAGGCAGACATGTTACTGCTGTGTCAGCCTGTTCAGTAACGACAATTTCATTGTACCATATCTGAAAGATGTTACTTAATTGCGAGGCATGAATTTGCTTTATGTTTGTATAGGCTTTACTAGATGTCTCTGTGTTGCTCTCTGATGCTTGTACTGATAATATCAAGCTTCTCACAGGAACCATGAAGTATTCTGTATGGTTTTTGTTAAATGATTGTGTTTATTGATTTGATATAAATGAGCTTCATTATCATATTGTCATATCGCCAACCTGCTACAGGGTGTCCAGGAATTTGTAGGTGTTCCATAAAAGTTGAAAATCTAAAGGTTTGAAAACCTCAGATGAAGGTCTAGGATTAAAATGTATTAAAAAAAAACTAGGATATCATGATTCTTTCTTCTTCTGCTCCTTGGAGTAAAGTAGCTGGAGCATGAAGTTGACCATTCACATTTTGTATATTGTCATGTATAAATTAGATCTGGATTCTGAAGTAAGATTTATATTAAAATGAATGAGTTATATTGGTGGGTGGGTTGGAGAGTGCCCAATTCTTCTTTCTCATCTCTACAGCCCTTAGTGGACTTTGGCTTCCTTCACAATTAGCCACTATATATTTCATTCCTGTGCCTTCTCTTTCCATTTACCAATCCTCGTTCTTCTCAGGTCATCCTTCACATCTTGGAACCAGCTCATCATAGGTCGTCCCCTTGTACAAACTCCAAAGGGTTTTTTGTTCAATAAACATTTCAGAGTCCCCTCACTCTTCAGACACTCAACATGACCCAGCCAACTAAGCCTAAGAGATTTTGCATGCCTGAGTTGGATCTAACCCTCCAAACACTGTCTTCACAAACAGGACCATAGATTTTCTTTATAATTTTCCTTTCAAATATTCGAAGAGCATTTTCATGCGAATTCTTGTGTACATTGTGATGTTACATAACAATAGAGAGACTGTGTTTTCTGCTTTGGTCCATGCCAAGTGGTTATAAAGGACAACAGAAGATGTGTCTTCCATGAGGCTCGTGCCTAGGAATTATAGGAGAGTAGAATTCCGAGGCTAGCAGCTATAGGGGCACAGAAGAGTACGAGAAGTCAGTCGTAGAACGGGAATGAGAGTTTAGTCAGTTGTTGGTAGGAGATAGCCACGGGAAGTTAGTACTTGAAGAAGAATTAGAAGTCAACCTGTGAAGACTTAGTGTATGATTAGAAGATATAGTCACAGTGAGACTTTTAATTCCATTACGAGGGAATGACTAGTGAAGACTGAGGATTGTAGTGCATGTATATGGATGAACTGTAAATTATGTAAATCAGTGATAGCGCTGTATTGCTTGTAAGTACTAGTTGATTGTATAAGGTGTTAATAAATCTATTCACCAATCCAGAACCCATCTGTAGTCACTAATACACATGACAGTATAATAAAATAGCAATTAAACTGTTAGAAATATTGTCCCATGTTTGAGTGGATTTGGGGTTGTAAATTGTTTAGAGTATTGCATGTCTGTAACAGCCAATCAAGCCAATCGCTCAAGAGATAACACATCTGACTTGAACATGGGATGTGCCCATTTCAGATCTTAGCTGGGACACTGACTTTCCTGACTGACGATTTTTATGGGTTTCTCTGTGTATGTAGTACCTTCGATTAGGATGCAGTGTTTTCCTTCCCCTTTCTTTGTTATTATTCACTAATGACCTTACTACTCAACACCATATAGTCTGAACTAGTGATTGCATCATTCAGTAAACCATATGTAAGTAGTGCCATAATGGTGTTTGTAGGTCAGACTGGAGCCAGTGAACTTACACAGCTAGGTACAGCATTGGCTCATCAAAATGGCACTACACCTTTCAGAACATCTGTACTGCCACAGGGAGGCAGTACAACTATTACCGATCCATCACTCGTAGAACGCACTCGGAGTCTACGTGACTGGTTACGACAAGCAAGGATTGAATCAACAGACCTCATTTCTCCAGGACAGGCTACGTTGTAGGTGATACGCTACTGTCACCTTCGGAGCAAGTCTAAAGAGAAGTCTCTTCCTTCATGGCATTACTGAGAGTTTTTTTTTTTTTTTTTGGCAAGTTTTAGAAAATCATGTCACATATATTTGCTTATATATATATATGATGTCAGAATTTTTGTATCGCATTTAGCAGTTGTTATTCATATTCATTTATGATATCCAAATAAATGGCCTACTGACATCTGATCTCATATTGTTAGTTCACTTTGACATTGCTTGTACTGTACTGTCAGTCTGGAGTTGCTTTTAATAACTGGCCATCCAATTGATTTAGTAGAACAGTTCCTGGATTTTGCCTCATGAAGCAGACCAGTAATCATAGAAATCTCGTTTGCATTTGTATTATTTTTAAGGATGTTTTGTTCTTTTTTCAATCAGAAGAAAGTAGTAAATGTATCTCATTAATGATCTGTGATGTTTTATATAACACCACACTGTAGTATGCATGAATAGAGTTTGGAAGGATGGAAGTGTGCAGTTTAACAATATGTTATATTGTTATATAATTACATGTACAATTGCATATAACTTATGTTACCTTGCTAAGTGATTGGTTTTAGTCAACCTCACATTAGATTACTGTTATTAAGTTTCTAATTATTCTGTAAAATTAGGAATGACAAACTGGTGTGGCCTATGGATTGCTTCAAAGAATCTAACTTTTCACAATGATCTTACTAATATTAATTATTATTCTTCACATTATTTAATTTTAATTTCACAGCAGTGTAATTCTGTGTTATCAGCCTTGAGGTTGGTAGTTAAAGCTTAGATGTTTAGGAAGTTCCTCTTTCTCCGGTATAATGACAGGTGTACGAAAGGGATGAAGTCTGCAAAGTGCACAGAGGTGCAGCACGAGAAGATTCAAGTCAATTACTGTGTAGGCACTGGAACCCCCTCCCCACCAAAAAGATACAATTTTTTATGATTGTAATACTGTAAAATAAATGTCACAGTTTCTTGTATTTCTTAACCATTACCGAATAGAGTATTTGCTGAAGGTGATATATGTTATGATACTGCGTACTGTATGTTAAGTGAGAGTAAACCATCCCAATGAGATACTCAGACCACATAGATAGCCAGCATTGGTACACACGGTAAAACAGCTAACCTAAATCAGGTGTTTCACAATACATGATAGTCATTATTGTCATTGTCATTGTCATCGTCATCATCATCGGCAAAACAGCCATTTTTGAACTGTAGCCTTCCTTAGAAGATTCTGCCAGATTTGTTCATTCCAACCTATGTGTCATGAATCAGACAGTCTGGTTTTCATTTCTTTGGATTTCACAATAGTATTTTTTTCTTACAGAGCAAGGTCATCAGCCTTGTGTCCAACCCCCAACATGGAGAACCAGGTCTCTGTATTTATGTCCCCCAGTGACAGGGTGGTCCAGTTATGCCCCACAGGCACTGGGTTCCCTTTTTTTTCACCTTCTATGACTAGCAGACCTGAGGTGAAGGTATTCCAACCTGCCTCCATAGATGAAAGTACATGATGAATGAATGAATGAATGTATGAGGGGTAGGCCTCTTCGGCCCTTGCACCCAGACCTACAGTGTTCTATTGTGCTTAAAGTACATGATAGTTTCATTCTGGGATGTTCATTTTGCACATCGCAGTGAAATCTCAGAACAGTGCTCTTTGTATATAATGAAAGAACGTAGCATCTGTGTTACTGACAACATATTCATTAGTAGCACATTGCAGTACGTCATTACTAATGACAGTCCCCTGCTTGTGACAGGCAGAGTTAACACAGCTACCTAGTAATGTTATACATTATATTTGACAGCTCTCTTTTACTGCCATCTTCATTTTACAATATAACCAAGAATTTTATGATTTTGAGATTCTGTAAGATGACAGACATTGGATTCATGGGATTTTATTTCCATCTTGAAATCATTCCTAATTTGTTTCTATTGTTTGAATCATTTCAAGAATATTGATCTCAGAAGAGTAGATATCTCAGTGTTGCGCTGCAGAATTTAAATTGTGTATCTGCAGAAATCTATCAATCAGTGCTTGAGTTGTAAATTTTATATTTGAGGGACTGGATAAAATTTTTTTCCCTCATCATTAAGCTAATTCTGCTGGCGTTACTGATCATTGTTTTCCTTGATCCTACAAATATGTTTTGAGGACAGTTTTATTTTAATTGATTTAAATTGATTTTATATATATATATATATAATAGAATGTGGTTTATGATTGACTATGTTTGTGTATTATGCTACTAATAAAACATATAGTTTTCATGTACATACACAGGCATAGCTCTGTACTTCATTGTTCCGTTTGAAGCATATAGATGTAACTTACTACACTGTTTTAACATAGCAAATCAGAGCTAGGAAGGAAGAAGGAGATGATGGGAAAGGAATGTGTTAGAAAGGAGGGCAGGAGATGAAAGTACCAAAGGGTCGAAGGAAAGGAGATACAAAAGAATAAGTCCTTATATAGTTGCAGAAAGCCTTCCACTAGTTTTACATGACTGTGTGTTCACCTGTATATATACCAGGGCTGACAATAAAGTTCGCGAACTTGCCACCGTGTGCTTGCCGTGGCAGTGTGGACAGAAATCTTAGTATGGTTTGATGATGCTGACATATCAGCGTTTCACAACAGTGTTGTTGATCTATGGCAATCTTTTTCTGAGTGTGTTTTTATGTGCCATTATGAGAATGTCAAAGTAAAATAGTAAAAAGTAAAGGTATCCCTGTAACAGGCCGTGGAGGCCCATAGGGTTGTGAAATGTTCAGGTTCCCACATTTTCTAGATAATCAGCTCATAGATGGCGGCAAGGTTTTCAGCCCTACGCGTCGGCCTCCCTTTACCCTCAAGAATATTCCGGGGGACCACGCGGTAATGTAGTTGGTTTAGGCACTATGCTACAAGCTGGAAGGTCGCGGGTTCAAGTCCTGATGAAGTCATTGGATTTTTTTCATCTGACCTAATCCTTCCAGCCGCTCTGTGGCCCTGGGGTCAACTCAGCCTCTAACAGACATGAGTACCAGGAATTTTAATAATGTTGGAGCTTGAATTAGAGCAACGATCAAATATTAAACTTCTTATTAAGCATGGAAAGAATGGAAGTGAAATCAAAGAGATGTTAGTGCAAGTTTATAGGGACTTTTTCTGTTCGCGAAGGTAAAGGAAATATTGAAAGGAAGCCATTTTGATGACATTGATGACCTCAGGAGTAATATGACTGCATCTTAGAAGGCCCTTCCACAAAACCAGTTCCAAAATTTTTTTTGAATGGTGGATTAGGTGGTGACATCAGTGCATAGCTTCCCAAGATTTTTAATTCGCTTAGTGGGCAGTGGAGTCCAACTGGGTCCACTCAGCACGGCGGCCATTGATTGGCCTATTGTAGCCTGCCCTTGGTGATTATGATGTTGGAGAATTTGGTGGAATGAAGATTGGCAGGGGAAACCGAAGTACTTGGAGAAAACCCGCCTCAGCTCCACTTTCCCAAGGGGTTACTTTGAAGGCGACCACAGTGAAATTCAGCAATGAAGTATGCAGAGTTTGCGAACTTTATTGTCAGACCACACACATATTGGTATTTTTAAGAGCATGCTCAGATAATTTGACTGCTTGATAGATGCAGTTGAAACACTGTTAAACCCAGTGTTGCTGCTACTGATACTGCTACTGCTACTAGTATCTCTTTCATCAGTACATTATCAGTCATAGGAAGAGTATGGGAACCAGGACAGATCAGTATGCATAGTGACAAGCTGCAGGCTGAACAGCTGGCATTAAAATCCTGGCAGGGGAAAGAGATTTTTTTCTTCTACACAGCATGCCAACTGGCTCTGGAGCACACCAAGCCTCCTATCCAGTGGTTCCTGAGGCTCATTCTCCAGGTCTAAAGCAGCTGGGGGGTTAAGCTGACCACTCACCTCCATCTGGTTCTGAGGTCAAGAATGATGGAACTATACCTCCATTCCCCTGTATGCGTCTCTGGCATGGTGCTTAATTAAGCACAGGGACACTTTTACCTTTACCTTTTTTTACCATATGATTAGGACCGGAATTAAACTGAAGAAAGTAACAAACAAAGTATTATAATCTGCAGCCAAAATTGAGGAATATTGGCAGATTTATAATGCTAATTACATAAATTGTTATTCTCTTTGTGGTTAAATAGAAATCACTTCGCGGAGAATATAAACTCCAGTTGGCTTTGTGATGTGTTCTAATTGCAAGGTTCAGGAGTGTGTAAAGTTTTTGTACGATCCTCAAATAGTACTGCTTATAATGATATACTAATGACTACAGACACAATAAACATCATGTGAAGTATCATTAGGTCTGTGGTGAACATACATCATATGTTGGCTAGTAGGATTAGTATGTCTGCTGCACTGTGTTCATTAGTCATTGTTACAGCAAAATAATATCTTATAATTTCTTTTACACTGGAATATATAAAGACTATAATTTTAACTATAACATATTATTATAGTATTATGATCACAGTCACCAAAGAGTCTTTCATTACTTTGTTGTTGCCTAATTAAAATGTGTATATATATATCAAGATATAGAAACATGAATTACTTTAAATAATTAATTATTTTGTATATTGTTTTAATCATGCACATGTATATAATTATAACCTTTCTTTTTATGTTTTTATTAATATTGTAATGTAAATAATGTAACAATTTTGTATTGACCTGTATATATTAGAAAATATTTTAGATGAGAATAGAACAAAATGCCAGCCCATGCAATTGGATCACAAGCAAGGACATTTAAACCTAGTCCAATTTTTTCCCTCAATTTGCTTATAATTGCAGGATCTAAAACATATACAATTCCAATGCCATATTTTCTTATCCAGTGAAGTTCTAAATCATTGTTCCATTTCTTAAACTGTCCTGTTAATTCAAAATAGAGCTACTTATATCCAGAGATATCCCTTTGTGTCTGAAAAATCTAGAAGAAATCTCCTAGCATCCATACAAAATGCTATGCTTAGTTGTGTAACTTACAGCTTTGCAGTAGAACACAGAACTTATATCATCCATTAGAAAGGACAAGAAGTAAATTTTTGGTTTGTGTTAAATTATAATTGGCAATCACTGTTCTTTATAATCTGCGTTAAAACTCGAATCCATGCATGATTGCTTAACGTTGACCATCTTTAAAATATTAAACTAGGAGTTAGCAGATTGTATTTTGTGAGAGAGATCCAGTTTATGTGCCTGAGAAGGGATTTGGTGTGTCAAGAACTCATAAAAGAGACAGTGACCTACTGCTGTTTTTTGGTTTCTTTGGTTCATCTCACATGTTTCTATGTATCTCAAATAAGGCCTACTTACTGGAAAGCTTGCCCATATGTTACATGAAATGTCAGAAGGCCATATCACGAAGTACCCAAATAATGAACCACTGTAACGCTTTCTTGGCCTGTGTCTGATGTGTAATTTCAGCTTTCAGGGTTTAGCTGCGTTCTATGTTGTAAATCCTTCAAACGTTCCAGCATACATTGCAGTCACAATTTTTTAAAATGAAGAAGGATGTGAACCAAAATATAGGTCTCATAGTGGGAGGCGAGTGCAGGGGGAGGGAGATGTGGAACATGGTGCTGTCCAGTGGGAAATGGTTACAGGAGAACAGGATGACAGCACCAGTCCTCTAGCCATGTTGGATTTGAGGTTCTCAGAGCGAGAGTACTATCTTCTGGGCTATAACACAGTGTTGTCCGTTGAATGTCAACCAATATTTCAGAGGAACATACCACCTCCCTCTCAAGGGTTGAATAGACTGAGCAAGATACCATTGTGAAAGCAGGTGGCATGCTGGAATCTTGCTCAGCTTATTTGACCCTGACAGTCAAAGATGTGGGGATGTTTGTCTGTTTGAATTGCTTCCTTGATGATGTGTGGATGTTAGATATGAATTGTTAGCTAGGGCCTCAGTTTTATCAAAGTCAGTGCTATGTTTAATGTTGGTTGAATGTTTGACTGCTGATGATCATTGATTATCTAGCCTGTGATGTGTTCCAATACAGTGGATATGTGATGGCTGGCCTAACCAGTGCACACATTCTCAAAACTGCAGAGGATCTTATAAATGTCAGGTTTTGTGTTGGGGTTTGTTTGTCATTGATTGTTCTAAGACTGATTATCGTTTTGTTTAGTGGTTAATAAATGATATGGGTCCCTTTATTCTTGAGTAGCTTGGCAGAGCAGTCTGTCATTCCTGGTACATAAGCAGCATATGACTTGTGTTGCCACTTATCTAGTTTTCCCATATTGTCACTCTTATTTTTCTGAATGACCCCATATTCTCTTTGAATATGTATGGTA